CTAACTCTTTCTTTGACTAACTCTTTCCCTGACATTCTAAAAGTTACAATTAACTCTGTCCCTAACTAACTCTTTCCCTCACTAACTCTTTCTTTGACTAACTCTTTCCCTGATGAACTCTTCCCTAACTAACTCTTACCCTCACTAACCCTTTCTTTGACTAACTCTTTCCCTGATGAACTCTTTCCCTAACTAACTCTTTCCCTCACTAACTCTTTCTTTGACTAACTCTTTCCCTGATGAACTCTTTCCCTAACTAACCTTTCCCTGACTAACTCTTTCTCTCTTTCCCTCACTAACTCTTTCTTTGACTAAATCTTTCCCTGATGAACCCCTTCCCTAACTAACTCTTGCCCTCACTAACTCTTTCTTTGACTAACTCTTTCCCTGATGAAATCTTTCCCTAACTAACTCTTTCCCTCACTAACTCTTTCTTTGACTAACTCTTTCCCTGATGAACTCTTTCCCTAACTAACCTTTCCCTGACTAACGCTTTCTTTGACTAACTCTTTCCCTGATGAACTCTTTCCCTAACTAACCTTTCCCTGACTAACTCTTTCTTTGACTAACTCTTTCCCTGACATTCTAAAAGTCCGTAACACGGAAGTTTCTCCCCCTAAACTTCCTTTGATCAAGACAATATAGCACAAGTACAAGACAGTAGTTTGCATCGTATCTTTTGTATAGCTTTTCACACACAGAACTTTTTACAGAGAGACGCTTTTACACACAGATGCTTTTAGACACAGACACTTTTACATACGGAAGCTTTTGCGCACAGACATTTTTACACACGGATGCTTTTACACACAGACAGTTTTACACACAGACGCTTTTACACACAGAAGCTTTTACACAGACGCTTTTACACACAAAAGCCTTTACACACAGACGCTTTTACACACAGACGCTTTTACACACAGACGCTTTTACACACAGACGCTTTTACACACAAACGCCTTTACACACAAACACTTTTACACACAGACACTTTTGCACACAAAAGCTTTTACACACAGACGCTTTTACACAGTAACACTTTTACACACAGACGCTTTTACACACAAAAGCTTTTACACACAGACGCTTTTACACACAGAAGCTTTTACACACAGAAGCTTTTACACACAGACGCTTTTACACAGACGCTTTTACACACAGACGCCGACACTTTTGCACACAAAAGCTTTTACACACAGACGCTTTTACACACTAACACTTTTACACACAGACGCTTTTACACACAGACGCTTTTACACACAGACGCTTTTACACACAAACACTTTGACACACAGACACTTTTGCACACAAAAGCTTTTACACACAGACGCTTTTACACACTAACACTTTTACACACAGACGCTTTTACACACAGACGCCTTTACACACAGACGCTTTTACACACAGACGCTTTTACACACAGACGCCTTTACACACAGACGCTTTTACACACAGACGCGTTTACACACAGACGCTTTGACACACAGACACTTTTGCACACAAAAGCTTTTACACACAGACGCTTGCACACACACACAGACGGTTTCACACAAACTCCTTTACACACAAACACTTTTACACACAGACACTTTTACACACAGAAGCTTTTACACACAGACGCTTTTACACAGTAGCACTATGACACACAGACGCTTTTACACAGAGACGCTTTTACACAAAGACGCGTTTACACACAGACGCTTTTACACACAGACACTTTTACACACAGACGCTTTTACACACAGACACTTTGACACACAGACACTTTTGCACAGAAAAGCTTTTACACACAGACGCTTTTACAAACTAACACTTTTACACACAGACGCTTTTACACACAGACGCTGTTACACACAGACGCTTTTACACACAGACACGTTTACACAGAGACGCTTTTACACACAGGACATCGCAATTTGCTATAGTTTTGGGTCATTGAACTTCATCTCATGCGAAATGGTCGCGATTAGACCAGAGAAATTACAATTTCACTTCAGTTTTTGACGATCGAACCTCGTTTCGTGCGAAAGGGTTGCGCGGGACAAATTGAAATCGCACTTTTACCGCAGTTTTTGACGATCGAACTTCGTTTCGTGCGAAAGGGTTGCGCGGGACAAGTTGAAATCGCGATGTTACCTCAGTTTTTGACGATCGAACCTCATTTCGTGCGAAAAGGTGCGCGGGACAAGTTGAAATCGCAATTTTACCTCAGTTTTTGACGATCGAACCTCATTTCGTGCGAAAGGGTGGCGCGGGACAAGTTGAAATCGCAATTTTACCTCAGTTTTTGACGATCGAACCTCATTTCGTGCGAAAGGGTTGCGCGGGACAAGTTGAAATCGCAATTTTACCGCAGTTTTTGACGATCGAACCTCATTTCGTGCGAAAAGGTGCGCGGGACACCTTGCAAATCGCAATTTTACCTCAGTTTTTGACGTTCGAACCTCTTTTCGTGCGAAAAGGTGCGCGGGACAAGTTGAAATCGCAATTTTACCGCAGTTTTTGGCGATCCAACCTCGTTTCGTGCGAAAGGGTTACGTTTCGTGCCGTCTCGTTGGCACTTCCCCTGCCCCCGCCTTCAGAAGAGAAATAGAAAAGAAGGAGAGGGCAGGAGGAGAAGAGGGCAAGAGGAGAAGATGTGAAGATGTGAGGATGTGAAGATGTGAAGATGAGCAGATGTGAAGATGAGCAGCTGTGAAGATGAGAAGATGTGAAGATGAGCAGCTGTGAAGATGAGAAGATGTGAAGATGAGAAGATGTGAAGATGTGAAGATGAGAAGATGTGAAGGTGAGAAGATGTGAAGATGAGAAGATGTGAAGATGAGAAGATGTGAAGATGAGAAGATGTGAAGATGAGAAGATATGAAGATGAGAAGGAGTGAAGATGAGAAGATGTGAAGATGAGAAGATGTGAAGTGAGAAGATGTGAAGATGAGAAGATGTGAAGATGAGAAGGTGTGAAGATGAGAAGATGTGAAGATGAGAAGGTGTGAAGATGAGAAGGTGTGAAGATGAGAAGATGTGAAGATGAGAAGGTGTGAAGATGAGAAGATGTGAAGATGAGAAGGTGTGAAGATGAGAAGGTGTGAAGATGAGAAGGTGTGAAGATGAGAAGATGAGATACAGACCCCCACTATTGGAAGAACCCTGCGCTCAGACGCTCTCGGGAAAAATTGACTAGGATACATAAGATGATAACTTAGGCTTCTACATGACTCAAGCGACTGCCATCAACCCCATGTTATCCCCATGAATACCCCCATGAAAACCACCCCGAAACTGGCCATGTCTCCAGGCTGAAGTTCAGTCTGCAAACCTCCTTGGCAGAGCTGGGGGTTCCACCCCCAGAGCCGCCACCACCGAAAGCGGTACCCAAGACGGCAGCAAAGGCCATGGCAAGGATCCAACCGGACATTGGCTTGGTTTCGCTTGTACCCATTCTATGGCGATATAATCATGATACAACATGATTTAACGATAATGGCCAAATAATAGCAGTATGGAGCGATTATCAAGATATATTTATTTATTTATTTATTTATTTATTTATTTATTTATTTATTTAATTTCGAGAGATATCAATGATATATATATATATATAAATATAAATATAAATATATAAATAGATATTTAGATATATAGATATATGGATATATAGATATATAGATATAGATATGTCTGGGATCCTTCACCCAATGGTCTAACCGCTTCACCAACGTTCAGGCCAAGGCCGCCGGCGCAAAGGCCGCCAGCAAAGCCGCCAGCAAAGCCAGCGCCAAGCCAAAGGGAGCTCCAGGCCGATTTACGCCATAGAAATTGATAGTTTATAGACTTGTTTTTAGATGTTATACCATTTTATACCCATGTGAAGTCCATCGGGGCAGATCCTATTGATCTTTACCAGTTGCCGATAGTGCTAATAATGTGACTGCTGATAATCCATGGATAGAAAGTCTACCAACCATATGAAGACAAGGGGGGATGACCAACCAAGTCACAATGGAATGTCAACCGGACCTCTTTTGCTCCTGTTTTTCAGCCTGAAGATTGGCACTGTCACCTGACTCGGCGTTTGTTTCCTCGCCTCTTCTTTCGTTCCAACCCTTGCAGATAGCAGGCGTGCTCTTATTCGAAGGATTATTTAGACCAATTCAAGTCAATCAAACTGATGGTACTCTATCATTTGTTTCTGTTTTAAGATACGGAGTTGTTTAAAATGGGAACCGAAACTGCATGGTTTATCATTCCTTTCCCTGTCACAATTGCGGTAAATTAGAGGTAAGTTTATTTCATATTGCTGGCTATATGTTCCATTAGGTATATATATATATGTACCTAATGTATATACATACATACCATAGCATATCCACATTCTGTCCCATGAAATCTCCAAAACTGAACATGGATGCCCCATCCCCAGCTTCAGCAGGTAAGGCACCAGGAAAAGCAGCAGTGCCTGCTGCCTGAGAAAAATTTGCTCCGAAGCCACTCTTGCGGCCCGGGAGGTTGAGACGAAAGGGGACGCCAAAGCGGATTTACCCCCAACTAATGGCAATGTTAAGGTGTAAAGCATGGGTGGCACCACAGTTGAGTAATTGGTTGGATTGCTCGCTACATACGGGTTTGTCAACGCCGTTGATGATTTTGCTTACCAGTATCTGTCTCAACGTTCTCCAGTTGATTGTAGCATTTGTCAGTTGATTAGCGCCGAAGGCTTTCCGATTCGCGGCCCTGCGATCTCTAGACCCAGCTGATGCTTCAAATGGCGACACAGGGGCAGTAGCAGCCTCAAGTTGCTCAAATCAACCTGTCCGACTTGATAACAGAATGTAGCAGATTGGCAAACATGCTTTTTGTATCAAGAAAATTGTGTTTTGGTCAGTTCAGAACGGCAAACATATCAATAGGCAGACAGAATCTTGGCAGGCTTTTTTTGCCAACATGTTTCTCGCATCACAATCCAAGCATTTGCACTTTTCCATTCTCATTCCTCCGCTCTGATGACCATCGTGGCATTGTCCGGCTGCACTCGTTCGGGCAAATCGCTTTTGGCAAAGATGTTGGAAAAGCATTTGGACGATGTGAAGGTGGTGCACCAGGACGTTGTCTGTGCGTGTAATCATACACAAAAACTAGACTGGGTCATGGAAGCTGAGTCTTCGCTGGAATGCTCAATGACAGAAACGAAGAAACTTGAACAAGTCTCCTCACATCAGTTTTCATTCATTTTTCCATTGAGATGCTCCAACTGCATTGTCCTTTCGTCGCGTCTGCCCACTCGGCATCCAGGATGATTTCTGGTACCGAAGTGTTGCAGTGGAGGTGAACGGTCGGAAGCTCGTCCCAATGTGAGTGCGCCATCATATAAAGATTCTTTGCTCTTTTGCCTCAAATTCGTCATTGAAAACCCAGCCAAACGGCATGGTATATCACGAGAGGTAGCCCAGGCTCTTGAGTTCCATGTAAAGCCACTACAGGTATATTGTGAAGGCCGGTCCCTGCCGATCCATTTTGACTCCCATTTTCGATGCCCTTTGCGCCATAGTCAGTAAGCGTCCCACTGTCATTGAGATTTTGCTGCAGCCCGTTGAGCGTTCCAGGCATTCACATCAACAGTATGCTTCCCCCACATAAAGATATTCTGCTGCAATCCTGTTTCTTGCGCCACTACGGGTGCATTTTCGGACAATCATCAGCACCACCATCGTGACCATCATCGTCATCATCATTGTCATCTTCATCATCATGACCATGGTCATCGTCATCATCATTGTCATCATCATCACCATCGTCATCGTCATCACCATTGTCATTTTCATCGTCATCACCATCGTCATCGTCATCACCATTGTCATTTTCATCGTCATCACCATCGTCATCGTCATCGTCGTCGTCGTCACTGTCATCATCATCATCATCATCATCATCGTCATCCTCTTATCATCTTATCATCTTATCATCATCCTCATCCTCATCATCCTCATCATCCTCATCATCCTCATCATCTTCATCCTGATCCACATTGACATTTCCATTGTTTTGACCACCTTCACCCCTTCTTAACGGTCTGCATGATTGTTTTCATCCCCATGGGCAAGATTGCCATCGCTGTCATTGTCATTACCCTGAAGTACTCCACACCATCAAAACAACCAGGTCCACAAGTAACAGCCGTGAGCAAGAGGTGAAACATGGTGAAAACATGGCTCCAGCAGAGCATCATTGATGGAGCCATTTGTTTTTCATGCTACACAACCTTGTCCTCGCCTTGAGCCTCCACGTACTTCAGCATCTGTCAGTAGCCACAATTGTCATCACGTTCCTCACGGTTTGTCAGCCTTCTTCATAATCTAGACATGCGCCGAAAGCATGACATCATTGCCCACACCTTCTGCACGACATTGAGCCAAGGCCACGCCGAAGCGAGGAGGAGCCCAGTTGCACAAATTTTGATGCCATGCGGCAGTGCGTGGAAGAGATGGCAAAATGCCACCGCATTGTGAGCCTTGGACATGAAAGGTGCAAAACTTCAGGAGGTGCAAAACTTCAGGAGTCATAGAGATAACGCAGCATCGGGATGAAGGGAGAGCAAAGCCCGTCCATGGAAAGCTGATGGAACATGCAGGCAACAGATGGCGGCTTCCAATTTCCCGAGGCTAGAGATTTCAAGTAGAGTCCGCGGTCCCACCCAAGCTGCAGCTTTTTGGAGCGCAATTTTTGCTAGCGCAACTGAGTCATTCATTGGCGTTAAATGACAGAGCCAAGGATTGTCGAGGGTTTTCAGGTTCCTTGACTGATCTTAGTTCGTGTGCAGATGTTGCTATACCCGCTGTGGATATATCCGAAGGGGTTTCTTGCTTGCGTTACAAAGTATGAGGTCCTTTATGATCCAAAGTTGCGTGAGCTTTTCGACCACATGATCCATTTGGACCTGACCTTCGACGAGTGTCTCCATCGCAGAACTGCAGCCCGCAGCCCGCTCAATCCAAATCCTCTTTCTCCGCAAGATGTGGTGGATTTGGCTGCGCGGCGACTGATCGGGATGTTCACCTTCAAATCTTTTGAATTTAGGAATAGAATTTGGCATGTCACATCATTTGCTTCCCCACGAATCACTGTACAGCTGCCAAGTTTCGCATGTGCTCGCCACACGCATCCTCTCTGAACAGATCTTCTTCGCCCTTTTTACGTGGCGTGAATGGCTGGTTTCCGCAGACAGTTGCTCTGAGGTTTGGCCGGCTCATGAGCGGTACATGGAGATAGTCGCGGCTCTTCAGGTGCATCGCCTTCCAGCCCTGGCTGCAGATAGCCCTGAAGCCCCTGCTGCTGTGAATTTTGTTGTTGGTGTTTGCAGCGAAAAAAGCGGCGGGTCCAAGTTTTGCTTGGCGCGACCCCAGCAGGTACTTGGTTGTTGTCCTGCCTCGTGATCAACCACGTACCCATGAATTGCAATGGTTGTGTGATGGGCATGACAGGCAATAAGCACAGAAGGCATTTACATCATCTTCTTGTCTTGGATTGGAACTGCAAGAGCAGTCTTGAACCACGGGCTATCATCTCCTTGGAATGTCCGCGACAAGTTTGCCAACTCACAAAGGATAACATAAAAAAGAAAAGGAAAATCACTGGGCCGCATCGTGAAGAACTTATTTATTGTTTAGCATCATACAATGTGCAATCAAGCTTGACGACAATCCTCCAAATAGAAGCCGACCCAAACCTTCCCTTTCATGGCTCCATTCGAAGCAACCCCCCAAAGATCAAATATTTGGAAACAGCACGGGATGCTGAGCATGATCACGGGTTTCAAACATGCTTTCATCTTGCTGATCTCGCTTCAATATTCACAGCATTGCTCCAAAACCTGTAGCCATGTCAGCTTTCGTGCAGGGGTCCCAGCAGACAAGAGCCGAAGCACATTGGATGTCAAAACAAGAAAAGCTTCATTATTTTTTCGCCTCACTAGTAGAGCAACAGCTAATCTACCAACAAGTTTCTTATCATGCCAGGCTGTACAAATCACCCCCTGGTATCAGAGGGTGGTTTCACCAAGGACGGGAGGCAGCCGCGGCATTGGCCTGGCCTTGGTGCAGGACTGTCCGACATCACGATGCACCTCATGGGCCAATGCCGAATACAAAGTTCCACAATCCTACTTGTAAAATTCTGCAGCTATTCGGGGCAGAAGCTTCATCAATCAACGACGCAAAAATCATATATGGTGCCACCCACTGCCTTGATCCAGGCTATGTTGAAGGGAAAAACCTTCTCGCGCGTGGTGGCCGCTGCCAGAACAGATTCCGAAGCTTTACAGGCCAGCAGCAGCTGCGAGTTTTTGTTTTTGCATCGTGCATTCCCCCGTCCGCCTCTCCCTCCTGTTTCAAACTTATCTCTCTCAGAACTCATCTCTGTCAAAGAGATCTACCTTATTTTCTCTATCGAACTCTTTGTCAATATCAAACTTATTTGTATCCTTCCCCACCTGTCAGGTGAAGGTTGTTAGATTTTATGTCAGCTGTCCCGCCTTCTCCTTCTCCGTCTCCTTCTCCTTCCCCTTCTCCTTCTCCTCCTTCTCCTTCTCCTTCTCCTTCTCCTCCGCCGGACCTCGACTGCAAGCGCTATATCGCAGTGTTCCCTGCCGGACCCGAACAGCAAGCTCAGGATCAGAGTGATCCCCGCCGGACTTCAACTGCAAGCGCTAGATCGCAGTGCTCCCCGCCGAACAGCAAGCTCAGGATCAGAGTGATCCCCACCGGACCTCCACCGCAAGCTCTGAATCAGAGTGGGGCCTCCACCGCAAGCTCAGGATCAGAGTGTTATTCGCCGGGCCTCGCTCCGGATCAAAATGTTCCCCGCCGGACCTCAACCGCGAGCTCCGGATCAGAGTGTTCCCCGCCGGACCTCAACCACAAAGAATCTCCGAAGATATACCAGATAGAATGCCAGAATAGATGTCAGATAGAATGCCAGACAGAATGCCAGAGAAAATGTCAGTATAGACGCAACAAAGGATGCCAGATAGTATGTCACAATAGATCCAGTTGGAATGCCAGAATGGAATGTCAGATAGAATGCCAGATACAATGCCAGAATAGAATGCCAGAAGATTATACCATATACATATTTCCAGATGATATGTCAGAAACTATGACAAATAAGTGTCAGAGTGGGGATCACTCGAAGTAAAGTCTTTTTTTTCTCTCTCATACCTTGGCTCTGTTAAACTTATTTTGATTGCTGCATCACTCATCGCTAAGCACTGTCACGGCTCTATCGGCTTGTTATGATTTATCTCTAGCGCGCTTCCTGGCGGGCTCCATGTTGCTTGGCAGGCACAGCAGGGGGCCTTGTTGGGTCTGGTTGTCTGCTCTGTGCGCCTTGTTACTACATTCCGAGTGGCAGACGCGGCACTTGTGACTTTGAGCCTCCTTTGCGCGGCAGACGCGGCATGTGGTAAGTTGCTGTTGGGTCTGACATCTTTTCATGTCTTGTTTCTTCATGCCTTGTACACAACAGGTCGCCGATGCATCTCCTATGGTGGCACTTAGAAGTTTGATTCTGAACTCTGTTTTGTTTGAAATTGCCATGATGGTTCTGTGGTTGGTCCCGCTGTTGTTTCCGCGTGCCTTGGACGCCGGGCCGCCGCTGCCTTGTGTGTGTGTGTGTGTCTGTGTCATATGACTAAGATCCGTTTCGAATGGCAGGCACAGCGCTTGGTGGGTTCATGTTCGGTCTGGCTGTTGGCATGCTCCTTCAACGTCGCTCAGGCACTTGTCAACAGCGGCATTTGTCATGTTGACCTCCATTTAGTTTGGCGGAGGCACCACTTGAGTTTGGCAGGGGCTGAATCTTTGGGGCCGCTGCTGCAGGTTGCGCGGCAGGCGCTTCATTTGCTGCGGCAGACATGGCAGGACCGGCACTTGGTGAACTTTGTTGGGCGTCGCGGTTGTCTGTCTATGGCTTAGGCTATCTATCCCTCTAACTCCATCCCTTTGTGTTGCCTTTCTGTTTCTTTCAGACCTTCATCTGTTCAAATCTACTTGTCTTTGCGAAAGGATCTCAGTCAGTTTGTCTGATGTCTGCATCTTTTGCTGTCTGCGTGGGCTTCCCTGTATTTACGTTGTTGCTTTTGTTCTTTCTGCTCGGCTCGGCCCTCAGTACCCAACCTTTGGTTCTTTCATGTGTAAATCGCTGGACGGCTTCTAATGTGAGGTTTCTTGGCCCGTGAATGTTGAAAGCAAGATGAGCATATCTGTTTAGCGGTGCTGCAGACATTGAGAAAGCTTTCGGCGCACGAGGCCTTAAAGTTTCAGCACGGGGATCGTTTGGTCACAGTGAAAATGGACCTCACTGACGAGGCGAGCGCGGAAAAAACTCATGGGTTGATGCGGGCTAATGCAAAAGCAGGATTCAGCTGTTTGGGTGTAGGTGTAGTGGCTCAATGACCGGGCCATTGGGCCAGCTAAATGGCCAGGTTATCAAGGTTGGTCCCGGGCAGAGCTTGTGGGCAACATGCAGATTTCCGCAACATGGGTCCTACGTTGCTGAGTTGCTGAGGTATCAATTCAAGAAGCAGTTAAATCTACAGAAGACTTCTGCCAAGGCAAGTTGTTGGCGCAGCTTTTTTCTACGATATCAAATCTACTAGGTCACTAGGGTTGTTCTTGTTGGCTCACTTTGTCTTGCAGAACGGTAACCTAGTGAATTCCGGCCCCCAGTCCCAGTTCCGCGGAGCTTCCAGGTTCCTTGCAACTTTTAGTTCATAATGCACCTTGGCTACATGCTCTGGTTGGTCCGTGACTTTCCTTTCATTGTCTTTTCCGCAGGTGAGAGACAACAAAAATGCACCAAAATGGAGAGAATGTACAAAGGCTGGCAGGTCTCTTGAATGGCCTTTCACCAAGCAGGGCATGTACGGGTAGCTTCCGGCTCTAAGAGATTTTCTTGCTATGCCTCAGACATTGATATTCTTCTGGCTGGTGTGGGAATGAGGCTGGCCTCATGCATCCCAGCGGCCGCGGAGAAAACTCTGTGACGCCCCTTGGCTAAGAACTTGGCTTGCAGCCAGACAAGAAGATGCGCAACACAGATGTAATGTACCCAGGGGGCACGGTTTAATTTCCACCCGTTTTCTGGTGGAGCTTCGCATTTTGAATAGCTTGTGGCGCATGAATGAAAAGACATTTAGGACAGCGTGCGTCCGAAAAGGGGTTCTGCTGACAGCGCGCGAGAATGCGCAAACTTTTACTTGTTGATAACAATGACAACCAGAAAAGCTGTTCCTTGTGAATCCGGCCGGGCCCCACCACCTGGAGGCGTCTTGACATGGAATCTTTCAGCAAGGTCAGAGCTGTTTGCATTTTTGCATTGCAACTTGACAGGCTTGAACCCCCAAAGGTGAGAAGTGCACGGCAAGAGTAGTCAGGCTTAAATTTCATAATGGAACATGGATCCTGCTTGCATTTTATCGCCGTCCAACCACACAAACAAATTCAATCGCGGGGCGCACGCAGGTCCTGGCAACCAATGTGATCGGACCAGCCTTGCTGACAAAGGTGCAGATTTGATTGGTGCAAGTGGGCTTGCGTTGACAATTGGGTGTCCCAGCGTTCGCTTTCCTGCATTTGCCTTGAAACATTCTGGGCCACTTTGAACCATTGTTTTAGTGTAGCTGGGTGCTATGCTTACCAGTAGTACCGCACAAGGCGGTGGCAGAAGTTTCAAAAATAGGAAACCTATAGGAGAGGTTGGTTGTGGTGAATCAGGGATGGCAGAGCGAAGCCACTGATGGACTGAAAGGTGCTTGATCTCTCTCACTCTTTCTATCTCTTTCTCTGACTATCTACCTACCTACCTATCTATTTTCTATGTATCTATCTATCTATCTATCTATCTCTCTCTCTCTTTCATCTAATTACCCAATCTATCTATCTATCTATCTATCTATCTATCTATCTATCTATCTCTCTCTCTCTCTCTTTCATCTAATTACCCTATCTATCTATCTATCTATCTATCTTTCTATCTATCTATCTATCTATCTATCTATCTCTCTCTCTCTCTTTCATCTAATTACCCAATCTATCTATCTATCTATCTGTCTGTCTGTCTGTCTGTCTGTCTATCTGTCTACCTGTCTATCTGTGGTGCAGTGTCATTCAGTGTAATGTAGTGTAATGTAGTGTAGTGTAGTGGAGTGAAGTGGAATGTAGTGTAGTGTAGTGTACTGTAGTGTAGTGTAGTGTAATTTCGTGTCATGGAGTGTAGTGGAGTGTAGTTGTGCAGTCGTAGTTGTAGTTGTAGTGTAGCGGAGTGTAGTGGGGTGTAATGTAGTGAAGTGTAGTGGAAGGTAGTGTCGTGTAATGTAGTGTAGTGTAATGTAGTGTAGTGTAATTTAGTGTAGTGGAGTGTAGTGGAGTGTAGTTGTGTAGTTCTGTAGTTCTGTAGTTGTAGTTGTAGTTGTAGTGTTGTGGAGTGTAGTGTAGTGTAATGTACAGTAGTGTAGTGGAGTGTATACAGTAGTGTAGTGGAGTGTATAGTGTAATGTAGTGTAGTGGAGTGTATAGTGTAGTGTAATGTAGTGTAGTGGAGTGTAGTGTAATGTGGTGTAGTGGAGTGTAGTGGAGTGTAGTGGAGTGTAGTGGGGTGTAGTTGTGTAGTTCTGTAGTTGTAGCTGTAGTGTTGTGGAGTGTAATGTAGTGTAATGTACTGTAGTGTAGTGGAGTGTATAGTGTACAGTAGCGACCCGAAGCGAAGCGAAGCGACATCTGAACCTCCAAAAGTGGTCCGAACCCCTAGTGTTTTGTACATTTTGACTTCAAAATGTGCTTCGCGGCACAACGGCGTGCACTTTTTCGACATCTGAACCTCCAAAAGTGGCGCGAACATGTGGTGCTTTGTACATTTTGACTTGGAAATGTGCTTCGCGCCACAACGGCGTGCACTTTTTCGACATCTGAACCTCCAAAAGTGGTCCGAACCCCTGGTGTTTTTAACATTTTGACTTCAAAATGGGCTTCGCGCCACAACGGCGTGCACTTTTTCGACATCTCAACTGTCAAAAGTGGTCCGGACCTGGTGTGTTTTGTACATTTTGACTTGGAAATGTGCTTCGCGCCACAACGGCGTGCACTTTTTCGGCATCTCAACTTCCAAAAGTGGTCTGACCATGGTGTGTTTTGTACATTTTGATACATTTTGACTTGGAAATGTGCTTCGCGCCACAACGGCGTGCAATTTTTCATCTCTCATCTGGCCAGCTGGCTCCGCACCCGCCGCTGTAGCGAGCCTACTTTTCGACCCTCCGGAGCCACAAATCATTGGAAAAACA